TTACATGTAGGAGTACTAGCGTTACATGTAGGAGTACTAGCGTTACAGATTCAGGTAAACATGGCTGCTGGGGGTTGAGCTCAGGTGGTCAGGCTCGCATGACACTTTATCTTCTCAGCGAGCCATCGTTGCAACCTTAGTATCTTACTTTAAGTTTTATAATGAGTTTATTCTCTTCAAAAAGTTTTAAAATTACATTTATTTTGTTTATGTGTCACATGTGCATGTCACAGCAGTCAAATGGAGGTCAAAACAACTGTGGATCTCGCTTTCCAGCATGTGGGTCCCTGGGATGGAGCAGGTCATCAGATGTGGCAGCAGGCACCTTTACCCACTGAGCCATCTCGCTGGCCCACGTTTATCTTTTTTAGTAGTCTTTACAGAATTGTAAAAGCTTTACTCAGACAGGGTGATACATCCCTATAGTCACAGCACCAGGAAGGTCAGGGTCACTAGTTTGAGACCAGCCTGGAATAGATTGTAAGACATTGTCTCCAGGAGTAAGGGGTGGTCAACATATTTAAATCTCCAGAATAAAATGTGAAATTAGTCTCACTTTTTCTTATATTTTCTTTTTCTGTTACTGATTTTACATGTTTGGGTTTTTCTGAGGGGAATTGTGATGGTAGGTGTAGGCTTTCAGATTGCTACCCATTGCAAGTGTATGTGAATCTGTGGGGGTTTTTTTTTGCATAGAATTAGCCAGAAATGTTAGAATGAATATGTAAGTGGTCTACTAGCATGCTACAGGAAATATTCATCATATAAATAGCTTAGGGTATTGTCTGAAGTTTCTGTTCTACCTGGTTCCCACAATCATTAAGTCCCAAAGAAATCACACAGAGGTCTACATGAACTATAAATTGATTAGCCCACTAGCTCAGGCTTCTTATTAACTCTTATAACATATATTAGCCCATTATTGTTGTTTATGCTAGCCACGTGGCTCGGTACCTTTTTAGCGAGACAGTCACAGCTTGCTTCTTCTGTGGTACGCTCACAATTGTTCTGATCTTTTTTAAATCAGTATTTACTCTTCTTAAAAGGTACAGTCTGAATATGGTTTAGCTCTGTTTTGATGGTCCGTGGTTACACTGCTGTATAGATAGATTGGAGCCTTCAGACCATGCAGCTGTGTATGTTGTTCTAAGGAGCTGTAACTAGAACACCGCCATTGTTTTTCTAGTTGCTTTTAACTTGTTTTCTGTTTCTGTCCTGCTGACTCTTAAATCTTGTTCCAAGTGTGCTTTCCTGTACTCACTTTTTCTTTCTGATTTGGAGAACTAGATATCAGATTCACTGGTACTGTTAGGTTAACAAATATGTTGTTAAGAATGTAAAACAGTCTATGGTTTAATCCTCTCCAGGTTGAGAATATTGTGTTTGTTTGTGTTTGATGGCTTGAATTTTGTGTAGAGGGTTTATTTAACAGACTTTCTATTGTGGTTATATTTTGTCTGAGTCCTAACCAGTCACTGTTTTGCTGTAGGAGAAAAGCAATGCTCGACAAAGTGTTATAGAAAATTCTTATTAAAAATGTTTTATTTTACAGCTCAAAGTTATGAAGTTTCAAGATGAATTGGAATCTGGAAAGAGACCTAAAAAGCCAGGCCAGAGCTTCCAGGAACAAGTCGAGCACTACAGAGATAAATTGTTGCAACGAGTAAGGAATATGGTTATTCAGTAATAGCGTTTCCACAGTTACCTACCTATCTGTAGACTATCAGGGTCATAGCATATTAAAGGGAAGTACATTGCAAACAGTAGTCTTTAATGTATAAATATTGAATGATGGTTAGAAATATTTTATTCTGGGCACTGCCTATGGACTAGCTAATCTTGCTAAGAATGTGCTTTCATAACTGGAAAATCCTATGGGAAGACATTGCATTGATGCTAGTAAGAACCAGGAATCCTAGGAAGTAGCACGAATGAAGGTGAAGATGAGGGCTGGAAAGTCCTGCTGTGGAAGGTGGAGTTAGGGTGGAATACTTGGCATCAGGGAGTGCTGGGCTTTTTAGGGTCGGTGAATTAGGGTGTGCAGAGCACTAGCACTAGAAGCCTGTGTGGTGACCGTGGAAATGCCCAGGACTTCCATTGGAATCGCTGTTTTGTCCTGTGCCCTGGCCATCATTGCAGTGATAGTAACAGTATCACACAAGAAAAAGGCATCCCTAGGAGCTTATGGTACAGAAATGTGGGTGGGAGCTGCCTAGTAAGGTGACTGCTCAGCTGTGCTGACTTGGAATTCTTTGCCATTGCTGCTATACCACTGGAGTTTTCCCTGATGGGCCATAGTTGGGATTGCTGTTATTGTTGCTCTGTAGTTTTAAATCAGAATGTTTAAAATAGATTAATTGTAGTATAGTTTCTATAAAATGTATAGTCAATCAAGAAATAATTTTATCTTCATTTAGGTAAGTGTATATTGAGTATCATTAAGAGAAGTTGGTCTCCTTTGTATGTCTTTGGATTTATATTCTATGATGTACTTGGGAAAAAGATAAATGAGATTATTTTTAAAATGGTACTAGTTGTCTCTACCCTTTTGAGTCCCTTTGGTGATGGTAACTGGTTATTAGTCTGCATTGAAGATTACATGTTGAAACACTCCCTGAATCTCAGTGACCTCAAACTGATATGTCAGTTGCTAGTTTAGTCTTCTGTATCCCATGAGTGTTAATTGGAGACAAGATTGTGGTTTTAGAAGGCATATGCTGAAGGTCAGTTAACTATGATCTCTGTCAGTTTGTAAATAAAGTTTACTAGAACACAGCTATGCATCTTGACCTAGGTATTGTCTATGTGGTTCTCTTGTTGCAATAGTGCAGTTGAGCCATTGTTAAAAGGATTGTTTATAACCAACAAGACAAGTAGTTTTGGTCTGGCTCTGTAAAAGAGTTTGCCAGTGTTTAGTTATAAGAATTTCTTTTTAAAAATAGGAAGCAGCATAGATAACATTTTTGATACATGCCGATTGTAATTAAATTCTATTTCTGCTATTAAAGAACTAAGTTGGTTCAGTATCTTTAGCCACTACTTTTAACTATTCTGCTATTAATAGAAATTAGAATTTTATTGAGAAATGGCAGTTAGGACAGCTAGGAATAAACAGTTATTTTTCTGGTTTATGTAATTATATCGTTATATAATCAGTTTATAAGTAAGGATTAAAATTTTTTATCATTACTTACAATAAAGTCTTTGGAAAGAATGTTTTATTAAGTGAACCTGCTGTATACAGGCAGAATTGCTTTTATAACTAAGTTCTTGAAATCTGTGATGGGAAGGTCAGTTATGTTGCTTGCTAGCTTTTCCTGATTGATTTCTTCCTTCCTTACCCTCCCCATCTCCCTCCCTCCTGCTCTCCCTCCCTCCCTCCCCTTCTATTTTTCTCTCTCCCTCCCTCTCTACCTCCTTCCCTTATTTTGATGTGTTAGGCATGAAGGGATAGGAGCTCTTAGACTGAGTTCCTGACTTTTTGGTGTGACCATGGTCATTGTGCTTAAACTTTCTGAGTCAGGTTTTCCATATCTAGATTGAGAATGATAGTGTCGTAAAGAATCACAGAATGACTTAGTATTTGGAAAATTGTCACTGTTGTCTGGGCTGTGATGAGCACTCAGGAAATACTTTGCTGCTGAACAAGGACGACGACGACGATGATGATGTGGTATATAAGAAATGGCTAGATATTTTCCAAAAATGAAAATGATAATCATACCTTAATTAATATTTAGAGAAATTGCGATTGGACACATAGTATAGCCTATACTGACATTTTTAAAAAACAATTATTTTCTTTTGAAAAACAAAACAGGAAAAGGAGAAAGAGTTAGAAAGAGAACGAGAAAGAGACAAAAAAGATAAAGAAAAATTGGAATCCCGATCCAAAGACAAGAAGGAGAAAGATGAATGTACTCCAACAAGAAAAGAAAGGTACGGCATGTCATAGTTACTCTGCTTTGTTTCAGATTTGGAGTGCTATTAGGTTTTAAAGTATTTCTATCATCAGTAGCAACAAATTAGAAGTGCCTTTTCACAATAAACATACTTGGCTTCTGCCTGTAGGAGGCAGAATTAACTGAGAGAGTGGCAGTTGCCTTTTGGCTTAACTAATTAGGACATCATCTCTTTACTTGGTTCATATGGTATCCTTAGTCTTAATTCATTGCAGGATTTCAATTACACTATTGGGTATCAACCCCGCAGCTTAAATAACAACTTGTTACATTTGCCTCTTGACTCCACTGTAAGCTTCTTTTTTCGTCATGAAAGAAGATTGTAAAGAAGCCACAGTGACTTGCTCATCATGTTAAGTTCTTGGTTCCAGTTTTTCTCTTTATTTGTTTAGTGTGTGTGTTATTCTTTGGGGTATATATCTGCTATCATTATCTTGTGGAGGTCAGAAGAGAGCTGTGGCAGTTGGTTCTCTCCTTCTGCTATGTAGGTTCCAAAGGGTCAAACTCAAGTTAAGAGTTCTTACTTGCTGAATCACCTCCCTGGACCATGTTCTTACTTCTATGGTTCTTAAATGTCTAGTGTAGTGAAGCAGTCGCTTCAGTGAATAGGATCAAAGTTTTCCACGTTGTAAAAACCAATGGTTGCAAATGAAAAACCTGTCATAATCACTCTGTCCATACTTGTAAAAAGCAAATTGTACAGATTGGTTAACAAAGAAATGCCACCTTTTTTTGTCTTATTATTTTGATGTAATTTCCGTTTCACAGAAGTTACAAGAATAGTTCAGATAATCCCCATGTATCTTTCACCCAATTGCTCCACCTATAAAACACTTCTACTTCTCTTAGTGCTTCCTTTCTACTTCTCCTGCAGCCAGTTAATTATAACTGGCCAGCATGGAGCCCGATTCTCTGAATTGGTCATCTAAGTTAAGGAAAAGTACCACATTAAGAAGTTAGCATTGAAAGAAACAAATCTTCATTGTTATCCAGTCCAAAATGTCAAACTTTCTTCATCTTCCTAGTAATCTCTTTTTTACAGCCCCCCCCCAAAAAAAAAATTCATTTGTTTTTTTGGGCAAACTGTATTTTGCTCATAAACTTACTTGTTTATAAAATAAAGGACATTGACTGTTGTTGGAAAATAGTACTAGTATGAATAGTGAGAGTTAAGTTATTGTAAGCTGGAAAGCATTTGTAGCTAATTCAGTAAAAATTGAAAATAAATACTTAAATCTTGTTGTCACTTACGGTGTTTATATGCTTTGTTTTGTAGGAAAAGACGGCATAGTACTTCTCCCAGCCCATCTCGGAGTAGCAGTGGTAGGCGAGTGAAGTCCCCATCTCCAAAATCAGAACGGTCAGAACGGTCAGAAAGATCTCATAAAGAAAGCTCACGGTCCAGGTCATCTCACAAAGATTCTCCTAGAGATGCTAGCAAGAAAGCCAAAAGGTAAGTGCAACTCACCCTTACTCCAGTTCAGTCACCAGTGTTCTACAAACTTTGGAGAGGATGTGGTTGTCCCTCACCCCTTTTGTTAAGATGTCAAAAAACTAGAGAAATTATTATTTTGGATTATCTCTTTTGATCCTACTCCAGTTTTTGTCATGGTTCAGGTATAGAAGAATTCTAGCAGTTAAAGGCTGGCCAAGGATTTTCGCATGTCCACTGTTGGGGATGGGGTGCTACTTTTCATTCTGAGCTTTGTTTCTGAATAATAAATAGCCTTAGATTTTGTCAAAGCTGAAGATAAGGAATACCTCTTCCCCACAGAAGTACGTGGGTAAGGAAATAGAATACTATTTAGATCATCTCTTCAATATACACTTTCATATTTTTATTTAAGCCTTTTAATTCCATAAAAGTAGTTCATAAATGTATTTGATATTACAGAGGGAAATTTTCTTGAGCTGCACCTGAATATATATGTTAATATTTCATTATTGTAACCATTTTCTATGCAGTCTTTATGTAATAGATGACTTTCTCCTCTTCAAGACTACACGTGTGTGTGTATGTGTGTATATATTTTTTTATTTGGGAAATCTTCATGAACAAAACTTAGCAAAATTACTGGGGCGAGACGTGGTGGCAGGTGCCATTAAGCCCACTACCTGGGAGACCCTGTCTCAAAAACAACAAATTATGTTGTTTTAAATGACCTTGAGTAAGAAATTTTTTTCCCCCCACAAAATCACAGAATGCACAGCTTCTGTGCTTTTAAAGTTGTGTGAATGTCTTAGTTTCCCTTAATGTCCCACCTTAAACTTTATCTTGTGGATTACAGGTTCAAATTTTGGGGGTATTAGTTACTTGGGGAGCTTATTAAAAATATACACTCTCAGTAGAGCAGTAGTAAAGTTCAGAAATTTTTTATATCGTGTGATTTGTCGACTGATTACACATGAATGCTAAGTGCAAAATAAATCTGTGTGTGTATACATACAGTAAGAATAATTTTGAGTTTGCTTTTTTATTAGTGGCTTATATGCCCACTTGAAGCTTACTTTAAGCCTTATAAGAATGTAAGCAGTTTTGGAAGGCGAGTACTCAGATATTCTTGTTTGTTTCTTCAGGTCGCCATCTGGTTCAAGGACACCTAAAAGGTCTAGGCGGTCTCGGTCTAGGTCGCCTAAGAAATCAGGAAAGAAATCCAGATCCCAGTCCCGGTCTCCACACAGGTCTCATAAAAAGTCAAAGAAAAACAAACACTGACACATAATTTTTAAGATGCTGTCACTTATTGGAAATGCAAGTTTGTTTTGTGCCTGAATGGTCTGTTTGTTTTTTGTTTGTTTTTTTAATAAAAAAAAAACTACACACACAAAAACAAAATTCTAATGAAAGAGCATTCCTGAGTTTGTTTGTTTGTTTGTTTGTTTGTGAATGCATGTGTAAACTCATGAGTAACTGCATCTGTAGACCTGTCATTGTTTTATATTGTATAAATTACTTTTGTTGTGGCTGTTTCTCAAGATGAAATTTTTATTGTGCTAATGAATTTCATCAGAAATGTGTACAATGGATCTGCTGGCAGTAGTAGTGTTTTGTTTTAGGATGTTGTGACTTAGACACATAATACAGATGTCTTCCCCTCTTTTGTAGCTTTGACAATTTGAATTAGATTTCAAATAAAATCTGAACAGAAAACTATAATGTTGTTTTTTTGCCCAGTTGGTGACACCAAGTCCCTTAAAGACCTACTAAGTGAATTTGGCACTCTTGCTGTTTCCACACCTAGTGACTTCACAAGCTCCAGTGTTCAAGCAGCTAGTGTGTTATGTTTACTAAGTGGCTACCAAAAGTAAAACCCGTAAGAAGGTTTCCATACCTAGAGGTGAGAAGGCTTGAGTAAGTGGGTATGATGTGGTATTTGTTGCTGTAATGCCCAGTTAAAATTTCATTTTTCAAAGAAGCAACATGATTTCAAAAGCACTCAACCCATCTTCTGAGCAATTACGTGTTTTTAGGGTAGATTTAATTTTTATCTTCTATCATGAAACAAGTTTGTTTATAAAAGATTTTATAAAAAAGATTTGCCATAGAATTCTTTTGTATAATAGTTGCCTTTTTATAATTGTCTGTAGGTTATCTTTAAAACACTGGTATCATGATATTTGTACAAATTTGTTTGAAATAGCTTTTCTGTTTTGAAGATTTGGGTTTGAAGTACAGCTTTCAATAAAAATTGAAAATTAAATGGTTTTCAGGCAATTTTAACACTCAGTGGTTTGTAAATTCAAGGTGCAAAAAGTTGACTTAAACCATTTGCAGAGTTGAATTCTGTTATAAACAGGAAAGAACTTGCTGTAGTCTGAGGGGAAAACAGGAAAACTTGTGAATGTTGATCAAAATACTGCAGTGAATATAATGTAATAAAGGGTGACATAGACTCAGACTAACACTATTTGTCAATCTTGCTTTCAGTGTTTCATTTAGGTACTTTATGTGGCTAGTTGTTTTGTTTTTCCTCTAATAACAGATTGTTTTATTTAACCTACTTTTAAAAATTCTTTCACCTTGTTTACTTAATTTTGCCTAATCACAAAATAAGGCTTCCTGACCCGTGATAGGGGAGTAGTCACGTCAGCTGTACAGTGAGGCATGTTTTCCTCACCCAGCACATCTACAGCAGCTTTAGAAATGAGCCAGTCATATTGTTAGACATTAGTGGTTCTTAGCATGAAAATACTGTTCAGTCCTTTGTTTACCTACTTTTTTAGGAAATATTAAATCCTTAAAGTTGCTTAGAATAATTTATGTGAACATTTGGTGCTGATACTTAAAGACCTTTATAAATACAGCTGTTACAGAAGGCACACGCTTTTCTTCTCTGGGTTTTGGATAGGCCAAGAAATAATTGGTCAGAAAGTAGTTTTCTTTTTTCAGGCAAGTTATGATGGATAGTTACTTTTCTCTCTTGAGTAAAAAACCTGAGCTTGGTTTTGGGTGTTCATTTGTAGTGTTTTCTACTGCAATGAATCCATCACTATTATAGTTAAATCTTGCTGCAGATAGACTTGGCTTCCTTTTGGGTGGTGGGAAATTACTTAGACCTGACAGAATATTTTCTGGAGTTTTTTAAATGTATATATCAAGTTGTATTGAATTTTATTTTCTTGAATTGTAAATAGCATTAACTAGGTTATTTCCAGTTTTACTTTATGAGGAAACACCTAGAATAAGCTGTTGAAATTAAAATTCACAATGGATTTGGGTGTCTCATAGCTGTTCCCAGCATAGAAGCGCAGTGATCATAAGCTCAGGTATTGAGACCAGCTTAGGCAAAAGACAGAGAGCCTGTCTCAAAAACATGTTCCTTGTAAGTGTCATGGGATTAGGAACTGGTGCGCTCTTACAAAAGGAAGCTGTTCTGCATATTTTTTCCTAATAGCTTAGTTTTCATATCTAAAGAACATATAGCATAATTGCTGAGTTGACTTAAAATGTTCATAAATGATCTGAGAGTTCCAAGAAGGATTGTTCGAGCTATGTAGCTGTGGCCTCTACTAAATTGCACGTGTGAGGAGAGCCTCTGTGGTCTATCCCTACAAAGGACCTAAAACAGGTTTCTTACCAAGGCAATGCTGTCTCACTTTTCTCTGCACACAGGTGGAAAGTTACATGGTGGTCGATTTCTTACCAAAGAGACCTGTGACTTAAAAGGATTGTGGCTGGTTTTCTTTGGCATTGTATTCCAGTGTAGCTGTGAGTCAGCATGTGGGGGGTTTCTGTCTCTAGGGAGCTGGAGATTAAAGTACTGGGGTAGACAGAAAACCCTGATCCCAAAGGATCCTTTTATTTGGCTCACAATATTTTTGGCTTTTTTTTTTTTTTTTTTTTTTTGCCTAAATGTTGTATAAATTGCTCTATGCTGACCCAGTTTTCTTCATTGCAGACCGTTCCTGTGGTCTTAACCTGAGAACTGTATTCCCATTAAAGGGTATCGGAGGACATACTTCCTTCTGACCTATGTATCCCCATTCTTTAATATTCTTGAGTACTTAAAAATACTTTAAATAAATTTTGTTCATGATCAAATTTAGGTTTCTTAGAAATATCCTATACGTTTTTGCTGTAATGGTGGTATAAGTTCTGAAAAATTACAGAACGATAATAGTTTGTCATGGTTAAAAATGAGGGCAGATAAACCTCTGCCAAAGTGATTCAACCTATTCTGATGACCACGGCAGTGTGATTTCTTTAGCAGAGAAAGTTGTTTTTAAAAATAAATAGTACCACTTTTCTAAAACAATACTTTTTAGGAATAAACCTTTTGCTCGTTTCCCAGTTTGATTTTTAGTGGACAAGCCCAACCGCAGAGAATTCAGCGCAGATATTGTGAAGACTGTAAGTTTAAAGGGTCTTGTGATTAGTAACAAAGTTTGGTGTTTCCACATCTCACATGCATGTTTTGGGATAGACTTTAGGGAGTGTTTCTTATCTTTTCGGCCGTTGCGTGTTTTTGTTATCAGCTCTCTAGGATGTAGCTCATACATGACTATAAATCCCAGGGGAGTGTAATGATCGGCGAGGAGATGGGAATGTGCTGCTGTTCCAGGGGAGCCTTGTTCCATTGTTAATTTCAATGCCTCTGTTGATTCAGTACCACCTCATGGATCGCCAATGTAAATGAATTATGTGTATAATGGTAATTTGTATAGTTTTGTAGATAAAATGTCCTCACTTTCATATGTAATTGTGCTTAGAGTTATTCTTCTAACTTGAGCAGGGTCTTTTATGTTGTGTCTCTGGTGATTTGAAATAGCAGAAAGACAGATTTCTAGAACTGGAGCGACATAAGAAAACAGTCCCGTGAAAGTGCCCTGAGTGGGGCAGCTCCGTGGGGAGCTGCTTTCCAGACGAGACGTGAAGATTAGTCGCAAACAAAGCTCGTGGAATTCACTTTTATTGCCTTTTCTTACTTTTAATTACTTAAATAAAATACATTGTTTTCGATGGTAAATTTAGACTCTGCATACAGTTTTCTACTGGGAGCCCTGTAGGGTAACCTAGCTTTCACCAGCTTTCTCCCATGCAGAACGGTGATGCGAGGAGCCATGTCTGTCCATTGTAGCTACACAGCTGCAACATTACATTGCTCTTACATTCTCACCAGATAGTTTCATGATAGCTGATTGCCTATTAACTAGGAAATTTCATACACTTATTCTCTATGTTAAAGTTCTGTTTATTTCATCAAGGAAAACTTCAGGCTTCAGCATAAAATAACGGCCATCTATTCACCAAACTGTAAATATCAACTTGTTAATTAGTGATGTGTTTTGATTCTTAAAATCAATATGGTTTGATCACACTAAAAACTCACTGGTTCCATTTTCAGGTTTTGTTTTAGTTATGATAATGCTCTTGACGATATTTGCCATCTTAAGCATTTTTAAATGTACAGTTTGCTGGTGTTGGGTATATTCACATTGTTGTGCAACCAAACCTATATAACTCCTTCATGGCAAAACTGAAACTCTGTACCCACTGAGTTCCCCTCTCCCCCGCCCTGTCCCTTACAGCCACATTCTGCTTTGTTGCTGTTTGACTAATCTAGAAAGTGAAATATAAAACATTAAATTAAAGTTCTTTACCATTTGTACTACATGGTGTGCTCTGTGGTCTCTCTAATGGTTTGTATGATGTAATTTCACACCAATACGTCATAGCCTGGCAAAATGTTCTCGGGAAGCAAGCTGTTTTGAAACTGCAGTAGATTAATATTAATGACCATGCTCAGATGCTTTTCTGGTTCTGTTTATTGGCTCGTGGAAAGGAGTGGAACTTTTCAGAACTTGCTAAGCTTAGCGCTTGCTTTGATATTCATTTTGCTACAAAGGGGGAGGGGAGATAAATTGCTGGTTTGGTTTTTGAATGTTGTTTTCCTCATCTTAGTTAACAGTGTTGTCAGATTGTTTTAGGATAAAGAACCTCATTTTGGGGCTTTAAAATGTGGTGTGGCGTGATAACAGTGGAAGAGGAGGAAGAGCCTGGGCTGTGGGATCAGGTTAGGGTGTGTGTGGTGCTTTATTTCTTATCACCTAGGAGCTGGTGGTGCAGTCACATCTATGCAGCGGCGGAGGACTGACTCTGGTGGTACTAAAGGAATAGTCAGTTTTCCTGGGAACTGATGGTGGAAGCATCCTGTGCTTAAACAATTTTTAAAAATTAAAAAAATCACTACATTTGGTTAACATTTCTTAACCTCTGTGATCTCTTGGTGTGTGTTACACAGTATCGGTCACTTCTTAATCTGTTAACCCAGGATAACATTTTGTTCCCTTAAAAGAAAACATTGTAAATGCCAGACATGGTAGTGCACGCCTTTGATCCCTTTTGGGAGGCAGGGGCAGGTGGATCATGTGAGTTTGAGGCCAGACTGGTCTACATAGTTCCAGGCTAGCCAGAATTACATGGAAAGACCCTGTCTCAAAATAATGATATAAAGTAAAATATCTTTGCCAGTTGTCATCTGCCCTTGTGGGATTCTGTCAAGACTTCTGAAAGGAGATGCTGACCATGAGCAGCCAAAATAAGGGGTGAGGGGTGAGCCTGGAGATTTGTTGTCCCAAGTTCAAAGTGTGTTTTTTTTATTTGTTTGTTTGTTTAAGTCTATGCAGATTAATAGAGCTGAGCAAAAATAAGCACTTTTCATAAAATTGACAGAACAAAATCCTTTAAGAAAATGAAGGCGGGCCAAGCGGACTTGATCACACTTGTATTTTAGATGTATTTGCCAGTTAGAGTCTGTAGCTTTGTGCAAGAAGGAATGTGCCCTAAAACTACGTTTAGACTAGATCTATAACTATATGGAATTTGAAAAGGAAATTACACTTTAAATTCTACTCAGAAATAGCAGCTTTGTGGTAATGTCCTCAGGACTTTGGCAAAGCTCCTTTGGAGTTCTCCGAGCTGTAAAACATGAATTTGGAGGAGTCTGGCTGATTAAAAACATCATACAGCTGAAACACTGCCCCGAATAAACACCGCTGCAGATCAACTGCCTTACCAACTGAATATTCCCATTGTGAGGAGTGGTATTAGTTGATTTTTTTGTTTGTTTCAGCATATTTTACAGGCATGTGCAGCAGCTACCAGGCATAAGTGGTTTATTAGTGTTCAGGAAACTGCTTTTCATCAAGTTTGCTGTGCTAACATTCCAATAAAGGCTAGCAGAGCCTTGACGAGCCTCTCCAGGAGTGTAGTGAGGGATTAGATACCAGAAATTGTTTTATTAATAAGGTGTTATCTTTTTAACTGCCATAATATTTAGGTAACGTGAACTTGACGCTCTGTAAATTTCAAAATGACATGTGTAGCTTATATGTTTTATACTGTGCACAGGATATGTGTATCCTAAGAAGGTGTTCTCTAGAAAGATCTGCAGTAT